AAATTTAAATATAATTAATAAACATATAAAATWGTTATTAAATATATTAACTTGAATTGACATTTAATATCTAAAACTTATTAAAAATTATTTAAAATAAATTAATTTTTATGATTTAAATATCTATTACAATTAAAAGTGAACTTTTTCTATAACAAAAATTGCTTATTATTGTAATCAATAAAATTTCAATTGAAAATTGTTTATAATTTTTTTTATATTATGTATATTTAAAGATAAATCTATGTATGTTTTTTATAGTTAAGTTTATTGATATAGATAAACTTATATTACATAGAAAAACACTATAGATTTATCTATATATATATATATATATATATATATATATATATATATATATATATWTTGTAATAACATATGTATATATATATTAGATATGATATTAAATTTGAAAATGTTCAGGTGCAATTATTTTTATTGATTACAATTGATAATAAGTAACATAAGTTATATTGTTTGAAAAAGTTCACTTTTATTGTAATAGATATTAAATGATAAAAAATAATCTATTTATTAAATTAAATAAGTTTTAGATTAAATGTCAATTGAAGTTAATATTTACTAAAACTTTTAAAAAAATTATTACTATATTTTAATTAAATATAATTTTTTGTATTATTAAAWAAGTTATTTATTTATAAATTACTAAATAATATTTTTTTTAAATTATAATAATTGTAATCAAACTATATATGATTTTTTTACAAAATAACTAATAATTTAAAAATAAAATAACTATAAATAAATTCATATAATCAGTTAGTTATGTAATAATTTATTACTTATTGATATATAAGATTTTAAAAAAAAATAATTAATTTATTATTAATTAATTAAATTCATCCAAAAAAAAAAAATTAAAATAAAACATAAATTATTTTTTTAATATATTTATTTGCAATTATCAAATATATCTTTGTCTTCAAGTGTTCGGCCATCGATACACTCAAAATCATGTATACGTTGGGCACTGACCTCCTTAACCCATGCCGTACGACAATCCCGACAATCCATATACTGGCCGTCGATGTAGATCTCATTGCGCGAATCGGTATCGAGAAACGGCCGGAAAACTGTTTCGTCCAAATAGTGAATGGGTCCGCCCGGCTGTGTCGGGGACGGGTATGTCAGTCCTAAACGAGTTGGTCTATTAATCGATGTCAGTGTTTCCCTGATAAAACTTTTGCTAGTTATGTACTCATCGGATATAAAACTAATATATAAGCTATCATTGGACGGCTGGCTAAATGTCAGGGCATTGGTCGGCAGATGGCTGAACGAGTTGAATCTGCTATGACCAGCTCCTGACTCCTGTGTGGATCAGACCAGTCACGACTTGGGACGTTGCTCTAGCGGTGGCACTGCTGCTGCAGAGGGTGGCCGTCTATCTCTCTCTCGACACGTAAGGACAATAGGCAAACAGGGTTCAGTCAAATGTAGTTTATTAGAGTGATTATGATAGATGTTACATAAGTTATTGTATAATAAATGATTGTATAAAAGATATTATTAGTTAAGACATTATAGCACCGGTATGTTGGGTGGGCTATACACTCAGTCAACTCCTCTCCTCAAACGCTACGACTAGACTAACTGACTGTACATCCCAACCAACCTACCGGTCCTTTACATAAAATACGTTATACTAAAATATAACCAATAATGCACGGGGAACGACATCTATCGTTGCATTCCCACCTACTCCGGTGAGACTCCGGGCGAACCAACGTTCCTCTGCAACGATGTCTTCAGGCAACCCCTCATCCGGTTGAGTCCTTCCGTCTCTTTCCATTCCTGTGCTTCTTCTATAGTCGTCGTTCCTCTACTTCTATCGATACTTGAAGTTTGGTTTACCCTTTGGTCAACACTTGCAATATCCGGGATATTGTCCGACACATCAACGTTGGCACCCGTCGGTTGATCATCTATTGAATCGTCCTCTTGGCTCGTCATCAACTGATCCCACGGCGTCCTCTGCAGTTGTCATCCAAGTTCTACCTCCAGGTCTAACTACCAAACAATCCGTCTAAAAATATTTTCGAGCTCCCGAACCGACCATAAAACCTATCTGTCTCTCCCCGGACTCCGCATAATTGTCCGCACATTATCTTCGATCTTTTCACGAATCTTCTGGACTAACCATAAAAACTAAAACTTCAGTAAAATCTTTAAATTAAAACATGACTCTGAACTGATGAAAAGGTTAAGTCATATCTATCGATAGAATCTTCTTCTTCTTCTTCTTAACCTTTCCTTTAACCACTTCTTCTACTTCTTCAGTACATACGATGTCTTCCGGCCATTCGGTCATCGCATCTCTTTTCCTGATGTTTCTCCACATATTCTGCTGATAACCGACCTCTAGGTTAACATCACTGCCTTCTCTTCCGAAGCACAGATGAAAAACAAAAACTTTAAAAACCTTTATAAAAACTAAAACGTTTTTCATCCACTTTTCCCCAATCGCTTTCCTCTTCTGGATTGACGATATGGTTCCCGACACGACTTCTCCTCTGTCCACGAGTTGTTCAATCAGTTCCACCAAACATTTCTGACAAAAACCTCGGGGTTTCTGTTTCACCGAATGTCTGCATTCGATGACTGTATCGGACTGTGGCTTCACTTTATATGTTTCCCGAAGTATCGGTTCGTTCACTGGAACGGATCCCATACTCTCCGAGAAACCTCTTCCACTCTTCAGAGCCTTTACCACATATCTACTTTCGAGTCTTCCTTCCTCTAGGAGTGCACTGAACTCTGGTCCGAACACATCCTCTTCGGTCATTTTCAAAGCTTTGCTAGACTTTGGTAGGAATGACTTGTTTTTTGGCCAACAAATCATCTTTCCGTCGGCTAATTCAATCAGACGTCGGGCCTCTTCATTTGTCGATCTGACCCTCTTATATGGTACCGGTTTTGTTATGGTTCTCTCGAGTTGTCTGGCCGTAAGGACATCTTCGCGGTAACTGATAGTCATCGTTACTAAATCAATGACTAATCCCATCGATCGCAACAGTTCCGCACCAATTAGTAACGCTGGGTAACCCTTCTCAGTAATCGCCGCCGAAAATTCCACGGCGTAATCACCCATTGCTATCCTTAGGCCTGTGGCTATCCCTACTGGTTTGGTTAGCCCGCCATCAGCCAATTCCAACTCATTGCGTCGCCATTCGGTTGTTTTTACGCCCAAGGCTCTGGCCAGTGGTTCCGTTATTGACGTTACGCAACAACCAGTATCAATCAGGGCTTCTACGGGAATCCCATTTATCAATAGTTTTATTATCGGGACCTCTTCAAAGTCGACATTTGCTAACGGGTCGTTTACTTGACTTGACCTCTTACTCAGCCATTTCTTATTAGTCATCACCGAAGGTCTGGGAGTCGTCCAATCGGGTTCTCCTCCCCCGGCCTCTTTCGGTTTCGTTTCTGGCCCACCACTGGGCGGGTTGTCTCTTCTCGGGGTGTATGGCTTCGGACTGGCCTTTCTTTTAGCTTCGGCCCACATTTCCCTATATTTGTTTAAGTTGTCCTTAATTCGGGCCTCATTTTTCTCTTGATGGCAATCCCTCGATATATGCCCCGTTTTCTCGCAATTGAAGCACACGTTTGAGTAGTTTTTATTGTTCAACTTCGGGCACTTGCTTCTCATATGATCTCCTTTACAGTGGTAACACTCTATCTTCTTTCGGCCGTCTTTATGGCTCTTCAGTGTTGACCCATTTCCCGAGTATGGTGACCTCCATGGCCTGGTATTGGCCATAGTTTTCTCTCTTTCTGTTAATGCATCTATGGCTTCATCTGGGTCTCTAATTTGCTCGATGACCTTTGTATACTCCACATCATTCATATTCAACTTCATCACCTCCATCACCATCTCGTTACTCTGGACATCGGCATTTTTGGCCAGGGCTAGTAATCGGGAGCCGAAATTTGATGGCGACTCCATGTTTCCTCTTCTCGCCCTAATTAACGCCAATTGATCCGTAGCGCCGCCTAATTTGTATCGCTTCCTAAAAGCATTTTCAAACTGTTGCCAATTGGTAACCTCTGGGTTGTCCTTTATTCTGGCCATAAACCAATGTACCGCTGATTCGGTCATGCTTTCGCCGACTCCTTCGAATCGATGCGCTTGACTGATGCCTCTGCTGTCAGTTTTTAATTTATAGTCGACCAGCCATTCGTATGCGGTTTTCGCTTCTCCGTTAAACTTCGGCAGATCTGTCATCTTTGGTCTGGTCTTTGGTCTCTCATCCTTTTTTATTTGCGCGTCCGCTAAAAGCCTAACTAGTCGTGTGATCTCTGGATCTGATTGCTGAGATGGAGATGTGGTGCTCTGGCTATGTACCAGCCTTTGCGTTAACTCTTTATTTTTCAACTTTTGACTTTTCAAGTCTTCCTCCATTCTCTTCAGCTTCTCTTCGAGGTCTGCTGTTGTCGACATCTCGAGTTCTTTCAAGGCTTTCTTTCTTTCTTTTTCTTCTTGAGCGGTGATTGCTCTTATTATCGACTCTTCTGTGCTTTTCTGAGTGCTCTCTCTTGCAGAGCTCCTCCCGAACATACACCTCCAATACTACCGACTCGAACTCACCGTCAGCCTCACTGACCTTCACGTGTCCTCAAAAAAATGTCTGTACTTCCGCTTCCGGTATATGGACTGACTCTTGCCTTATGTCCATCAACCCTCTCGAAGTACTGGCCAAACCTTTAATCCGGTTAACACTACCTCTGGGATGAAAACCGGCGCTTCCACCACATGCTATGACCAGCTCCTGACTCCTGTGTGGATCAGACCAGTCACGACTTGGGACGTTGCTCTAGCGGTGGCACTGCTGCTGCAGAGGGTGGCCGTCTATCTCTCTCTCGACACGTAAGGACAATAGGCAAACAGGGTTCAGTCAAATGTAGTTTATTAGAGTGATTATGATAGATGTTACATAAGTTATTGTATAATAAATGATTGTATAAAAGATATTATTAGTTAAGACATTATAGCACCGGTATGTTGGGTGGGCTATACACTCAGTCAACTCCTCTCCTCAAACGCTACGACTAGACTAACTGACTGTACATCCCAACCAACCTACCGGTCCTTTACATAAAATACGTTATACTAAAATATAACCAATAATGCACGGGGAACGACATCTATCGTTGCAAATCCAATGGACAGGTGTGTTAGGTCGGGCATATCCTGAAACGCCCGATCGCCTAACTGTGTAAAATGGCCGTCCAGTACAAGCCAACGAAGTTTCGGGTGCCGTTTGAATGCCCGATCGGGTATTTCCCGAATGTCGTTCCAACTGAGATCGACAGTTTCCAGTTGCTCGAAACGGTTGACAATATCAAACAATTTGCTACCCGTTCCCGACCCTAGCCTACTATTGTAGTCAATGGTTAATCGGGTAACCGATCGCTGATTACCGGTACCGAAAAATTCGGGTTCAATTGTAGTCAAACTATCGCAACTGTGTATACTAATCGAATTGAATGTAATATTACCGAACGTACCGTTTCCGASGACAGTTATATKTTTAGCATCTTGTATAGTAAAACTATCCATATGGTACTGTTCCTCAGGCAGTCCCCGGGATAGACGTTCAAAATATTGTTTATAATCAATGTCCTCAAACGTACAGATCAGATACATCCCGAAATCGTAGGCATCGCATGAACACGGCTTGACCAGCGATTTTGGCGGACATTTCCATTTGCCGGGAGTACTACTGATACTACCGGTGCTGATGCCGATAATATGGTAGCAAAGTGTTAGACAAATAACCAATTGCTCTATAATTGTATTAAAAAAAATTTTATATAAAAAAAGTTAGTTAAAGTATTTAAATATTTATTATTTATTTAATAATATTATTATATAATTATTATTAAACTTACTAAACATTTATTGTTATTTGCTATTAATATATTATAATTAATATTATTTAGTAATTATTATTAGTTTATAATAACTTATTAATAAATAAATAAATAATTTATTAGTTAATATTATGTATTGTATGTATAATAATATACTTTTAAATACTGTTTTACTTTTTTTATAAAATATTTTGATTGACTTAACTGTAGTTATATATAAAAAACAATATATAACTTTACGTTTATATACTTGAAATATGATAATAAATKTTTTAAAAAAAYTTAGTGCAAATAGTGATAAAAAAAGTTAAGTAACATTTAATCAATTAGTTTTTATTTATTAGTTGCAAATTATTATTATTTTTTTATGAAATATCTAATTGTAATGATAAAAATATCTTTATATTATATAAAAAAAATTTTTTTAGTAACTTTAATAAATGTTAATTTCAATTTAATAGTTAATTTTTTTAAAAAAATTTTAACAATACTTTTTATGTTTTATATTTAAAATATCTAGTTAAATTTAATAATAATAATAATCTAACTAATCTATTTACAAATTATAAGTTTTAAAAAATAAGTTTTTAACATTACTTAAGTAACTGATTGATTGAATCAATCAATTCAATAGTATTTATGATTATTATTAATTTGATTATTAATTTTATGTTTGTTAAGACAAATAATTTATTAAAAAAAACAACAATATTATCATACAATTCACTACATTATCCAAAAATTTTATCTCAATTTATTTCATTTGTAATTAAAATTTTTGTTATTAAAAAAAATTTATTTTTATTATTACTCTAAATTATATCATAATATTAGTTATGAAATTATTTTATTTAATTAATTTTTTTTACTAATTAATAAATAATTATACAATAAATATATATCACAGACATGGCTTTGAAATAGATATTTTTCAAAACAAAAAATTAATAATTAATTGATAGACAAAACAAACTAAAAAAATATAAATTAAATTAAATTAAATTACAATACAATATATATTAATTATTATTATTATTTGGTATTCAATCGGCAGTCGATTCGGCCGATTGTAGATGTCTTGTCTTGACATCGTTATAAGCGATGGTAAATATACTCTTTTTTTCGATGAATTTACTATTTTTCATATCCATATCAGTTGTATTGTTGTTGTTGTTTGTGTTCATCATCATCGATGAAGACGACATCCCAGGCCATCGATTGCCAATACCTGAATCCGAATCGTACGACTTGTCTGATTGCATATCAAAACTATTGTCTTTGGCTAACATAGGCTTTGTTTTATTATTATTATGATGTCTGAGCTGTTGCTGTTGTTGTTGTTGTTGTTGTTGTTCATCTGATCCAATCAATGAAGACTCGTTTACTGTCCTATTGTGCGACACTTTGTCGTCGGCGGCGGCGGCGKTGCTGTTGATGGCATTRTARTTGTCTTTTAGTTCAATACTAACGGGAACTCCACTAATGGATGTTATTTGAATGCTTTCTTCATTATTATTATTATKATTATTATTGTTGATATCAAATGGACTATAGTTTACCAATTCATTGATATTTTCCTGAAGTTTTAATGAATTTTGTGTTTTCATTGATTTTCAATGCTATTATCACGACCTGAACTAAATGATTGTTGTTGTTGTTGTTGTGGATGAGGTCTAACATCACTAGCTTGTTGTTGTTGTGGTGCAAACGTTACGGTTGGCACCGGTATTAGCTGCTGATGATGCTGTTGTTGTTGTTGTTGTAGATCACCAATTGGTATCATTCCGGGAACTACCGATTCCTCTGGTATTGTCATATCAGCGACATTATGATCGGGAAAATAGATGTGTCGCTGATGTTGYTGYTGTTGTTGGGACAGTAGCTGTTGCGGTGGKAGTTGTTGTTGTTGCAGTTGTTTGGCCTTTAAGTGTGCTCTATGTCTGTCCCCGATATCGTCCGATAGATATTGTTGTTGTTGCTGTCCATCATATGGTATATCAGTTTCGCTAATACTTCTCAACAGTACATCCTCTGACTGAGGCGGTGGTGGCGGCAGCGGCGGCGGCAACGGCCCAACTGTTGCCGCCGGGCTCTGTATATAAAGTATTTCCGTACGTTTAGGTTGTTGTGCGAYAAATGRTGGCAATGAYGGCTGATTATGAACGGCTGGTCGGCGATTGACAACCGGTTCGCTGAGATCATCGTCTATAAGATAGTGTTGCTCATTGGCTTCTCCTACTGTGCGCTCATATTTTTGTCCCATATTATTATTATTGGTGGTCATCACCGGCGGTAAGCCCTTAAAACTGGTCATATGATGATAGGGATTGTTGCTATTGTTGTTGGTGTTGTTGTGCGACCTATAATAGTAGGCACTCCTGTAATCGGCAGCTGCGACACCACTGATGTCGTCACTGTTGTTGGGATCATAACCCGAGTTATCATAATATTGTGGTCCGACACGAGCTCTTTGATTGTTTCGACCCATTTTGTAGACAACCCGCTGTTGTTGTGGTTGATATTGGTATGACTGGTGCTGTTGTTGCTGATGATGGTGTGCCGCTCTCGGATAGTGACCGTCGGGAAACGATTGCGAACTATTGGCCCGAACTCCGCGACTATAGCTATTCAGGTCGTCGTCATTGTTCGGCGCCGACGACGGCCTCAAAACACTTCTCATTGGTTGCTGTTGTTGTCGGCGCTGTTGTTGTTGGCCATCAACCGAGTCGTCACTCCAGGCCTGTACTGATCGGCGAAATCTTTGCTGTCTTTCGCTTAGTTTTCGATAGGATTTGTCGTCTTTATTGTTTGGTTTAGTCGTCGTCGACGAAGACTTTACTGATTTTACTTCTGTATTGTTTTTCGGCGAATTGTAATCAATTTCTTCAAGTTTTTGTCGTCTTCTGTAATTAGAAATCAATAATCAAACAATAATTAGATTTTTATTTTTTTCGGTCAAAACTATTCGGTAAAAACCCGAAAAAACTGACCGAATTCTGTCCCGACAACAGCAGAACCAACATAAGAGAAATGCTATGAGAAAGCAAAGAGTGGCCAAAATTAGGATAATTAGTAGCCATAGGAGCAGCCGATAGTCATTGCCGGCCACCTGAGCGGTGGCCAACCCTTGCTGTTGTCTATCGCTTTGTTTTTCGTCAATTRCTGTATACTTTTTGCCCATAATATCGCTCAATATAATCGGCGTCTTATTTAAATCAACTAAAAWAWATATATATATATATTTATAGTTTATATTTTTTAAGAAAATTAAATTAGTTTATAATACTAACCGGCCGATTGTGATGGATAGGCCATCCATGCCTGTACTTCGGTCATCTCCCTGTCCCTGTGCGGACCAATTGAATAGATGTGCACTTTTGAACCGCTTAGGGCACTCATACCGCTATTTATTGTTTGTTTTTTTTTTGAAAATTAATTAATTATTTTTGTTTTGTWTTTGTYGTTTGAATTTATATACCTTTCGATGTATTGTTTTCTTTTGCTAACATTTTCMACAGTATCGCCRATAGTGAARACAACTGTCCGATTGAGAAAGTCCGGGTTGTGTACATAAACCGGTACTATAGATGACTGATARGGTATTCCGTGATCGTGAGCCCTGACATCCAGTACAAAGTCGGGCATAAATTTGTTTACAGACGTCGACGACGACGCCGACACTTTCGGATTGATATCGTCTACCAGTGCTGACGTTAGCCTAATTTCGCCGGTAGTATCGTTGATGACAAACTTGTTTTGATAGTTACCGCCAATTATTTCGTAGCTTATCCTACTGTTAGCTGTTCCCCATTCGTCGGCATCCATGGCCCGGACGATCAGCGGCTGTGTAAATGTAAACCTGTCCGGGTTTAGTACGGCATCGTAGCGGGGCTGCAAAAATACCGGTGCGTTATCTATATATACAAAAAAATATATAAATAATTAAACAAATAGTAAGGATTTAGTTTTAAAAAAATAATTTATGTTAACTATTATAAAGTATTTAATTATTATTAATTAGTAGTAATAATAATTACCATTTTTATCGGTAATAATTATATGCAATTCAGTAACATTTCTATTRCCGCGACCCATATCATCCCTGGCCTCAATGGTTACCCGATATTCAGATACCAGTTCTCTATCGATATTTTCATTTGTTTTCAATACAATGATTCCCGTTTCCGAGTCCAGGTGTAGACTATATATATATATATAYATATATTTGTTTGTTATTTAAATAAAACAATAATAATTTAGAGAAAGTTTCAATAAATAAATTTTTTTTATTTTGAAATCTATTACTCATCAGAAAGCGGGCCATTGATGGCAGTGTAGCGGACAATGCCGTAGTCACCGCTTTTGTCGGCATCTGTGGCCTCAATCCTGGCCACAGTAGCTCCGGGACCAATGTCTTCAGGTATGTGCGCTTCGTATACTTTTTGGCTAAACTGTGGCACATTATCTTATTTTTTTGTAAAAAAAATAAATAAAAATAAATATATTTACAATTAATTAATAGGTAATTGTTTTTTTTTTTTAAAAAACATTATTAAAAAATTAATTTAAATTAATTACCGTTCATATCGTTTAAATAAATTGTGCAAAATATGGTTGCATTTAATGCTAAATATGGCGACTGATCTTTGGCTGTAATCTTTAAAATCACAAAAATAAAAATAAATATTTAATTAAAATTATTTTTTTTGAAATTTTTGTTTTGTTTAGTTTTATTATAATTACTTTAATTATAAATTTTTTGTCGACACTGGACTCGTAATCAAGTTTTGTGGTATCCTTTACCACAATCGAGAAGATAATATCGTTGATACCTTTCTGGGGCTGAATCATGAATGTATCGGACGGGTCGTCAATAAACAAACCGATTGTACCGTTAAGTCCCGGATCCGGATCGGACACTTGGGGTACACTCATACCAGTCCACGTAACGGGTGTCATATGTTGACTGTTTTCATCGATACTGCCGACTAGATTATCACTTTTGAAAACAGGCCGYCGATTATCGGTCGACACAATGACCAGMGCTATGTAGGCTTCGGTAGACAGGGCTGGTGTGTGGTCACTGGGACTGACCATTTCGACGGCCCATACCTTCAATATAAGCGGTTCTTTGATACCGATTTCTTGTTTGATGTCATCGATGGGACGTCTCAATACAATCATCCCTTTGATGTGATCGATGCCAAAGTATGATACTAGTGGTGATCCTAAATGTTTTGAAAATAAAAAATTTCAACAAAAATTAATTAATTATAAATTAAATATATTTTGTGCAAAAAAACTTATTATTATTAGTATTTAAAATATTTATATATAATTACTTCTATCGATTTCATAGCTAATGTTACGACTATTACCATAATCGCCGTCATCTGCACTGATATTTAAGATAATACTTCCCTATAATAAATAAAAATATTTAATTTTAATAATAATAATAATTAACAAACAGATGTCCACAAAAAAAAATAAATATAAATAATTTTGAAAAAACTACTGTTTTTTTATTTATTATAAAATACATACAACTTTAGTGTTGTCACCAATTTTGACAACATTTGGCAAACCCATGAAAACTGGTGGACTGTCGGGTATGTCAGTGATGACAACCACTTTTTCAGTGATGGCTATATTTCTTGTATCAAATGTTTCATTAGTCCAACAATTCTATGTTTTTTTTAAAATATATATAAATTTATAAAAATTATTTTTATTTTTATATATATCTATAATAAATTATAACAATTTAGTTGTCAATTAGACAATTAGGTTATTGAACACAACAAAAATTTTGATTAAATAATAAAATAAAAATAAAATAATATTTATAGTTTGAGTACACATATATAAAAAAAATCTAAATAAAAATTATAATACAATTTATTTATTTATTTATTACATACCAGTGCAACAATTGTCAAAACATATAGATTTTGTTTTTCATAGTCGACTGTTTCAAGCAAATAAATTTCAGCATTACTGGTGCCTATAATAATAATAATAATAATTTATTAGTATTAAAATTTCATAATATTTAGTAACAAACAAAATAAATTTTATTAATTAGTAAAAAAAATTACTATACCTGATGGTCCAAATATATATTTAATTGCAAATTTATTTGAACCCTATTATTTGTTGAAATGGATTGGGGGTAAAWTTTTTTGAATTATTARTAATTTTATATAGATTTTTAAARAATAAATAAAACAAACCCTTAATTCAAAAGTTGCCGGAATATTACTGTTTTGTTTTTGTTTAACACTGATTGTAGCAATTGTTTGATTAGTTTTGATATCCTATAAGATAAATGTTTTTCGAGAGAGAGAGAGAGAATATAAAAAATTTATTTATTTATTATTAACAAAATTTTTTTTTCAAAAACCTCCGGTATTTTAATGATATTATCCGACGGAATAAATGGCGATTCAATTTGAGTATTATTAGTATCGATGGCCAGTATTGTCGACTCGATTTCGGTAACTTCGCGGCCATCGCTAGCGTAAAGTGTTATCTTATATTCATTATCCTTGAAATGCAAACAAAATTATATATTTATATATTTAAAAAAAACTGTTTATTATATCATAATTACTTGTAATGGGTTTTTCAAGTAGACGTCCGCCTCATAAAAGCTAACATTTTGAAACCAAACCAAATGGTTGCCAATATTTCCGCGGACACCAAACTCAATGGTATCGTTGTCGGCATCGGTACCCTTAATCCTGTAGATAACTGTACCGATTCGGGTATTTTTCGGTAATTTCAATACACGCATGTTATGGGAAAAATCAATTACCGGCGGATTGGCCATCAAACAGCCCATACTAAACACCGTTAATAGTAAAACAATAGCTAATATATTGTTTTGATTTAAATTTTGATTTAAATTATTATTTGATGTGAACCGGTGTGCCATTTGATCTGTTAAATTAAACGATAATAATAATAATAATAATAATAATAATAATAATAATAAACTTGTATTTAGTATTATATTTTGTAAAAATATATATATATATATAAATAATTATCATATTTATCATATTAAATGTAATTATCATTATTATTGCTATTGCTATAAGTTATTAATATTTCAATTAATTAATTTAAATATTTCAAAAAACAACTATTTATATTATAATAATAAAAAAAATATATGAAACTAATTACTTATGTTTGCTGTTTGTTTGAAAAAAATTTATTTGTTGTTACAATAAAATTTATAACAACTGTATTTAAATCAATAAAACTTTATAGGTTTACACAAAATACACTTAATATATATATATATATATATATATCTAAAGTGTTAGGTAAGAGCATTGACTTTGAGAAATAAAAGAGTAATATTAATGATAATATTAATTCAAATAAAAAGGGAAAAAAACATTTTTATTTATTAAAATAACAAAAATCGATATTTCATAAGAAATACAGTTATATAAATATTAATAATAATAATAATAATAATATGTTAATAGCAATAACAATATTATATGTACATTATATGTCTCAAACAAATCAATTATTTTTCTAAATAATAATAATAATAATAACAAAAATATTTTGTTATATCACAGTAGCTATTATATGACTATTTTATTAAGACTATTAAAATAATAACAACAAAAAATAGTACTTCAATTGATATAAACAATAGAAATATAATAATAAATTCATATTTTTATATATATATATTCACAGTATATACATGTATATTGAATATTCAAATTAATTATATAATATATATATCTAATATAATATAACTCTATTATAATTATAACTGATATAATCATTGATGAACTCAATTGTCCCACAAAATAAATTAATAGATTAGATATACAGTATTGATATAAATATATATATATAATAATAATATAAATAAATATTTTAACACTTGATGTAATCGACAAATTAGTCCAACAATTAGTCCAACTATTGTTAATAATTTTATTTTATTATTTATAATTGTATAATAATTACATAATAATCTAATTTAATATATAAATTAATTTTTTAATAGTAATGTCATAATCTATATTAGTTTAATTTTAATAATAAATCTTATGTATTATTATTATTATTATTATTAATATTTATAAAAATTACATAAATACATATAATATAAATATAATTTTTAATTAAACAATTTTTTATTATATTTTACAACAAATATTAATTATTTATTATATAATAGTTTTATTTTATTTTTTTATTAAAAAAATTTATGATATATATGTGGGTAATTAATATAGAAATTTTTTATAATATACTAAATGAGGTTATATTAGTTACAAATTAATTTCTATGAAACACGTAATAATCAATTTATATATTAGTAATTGATTACAAATTGTGTTAATTTTTTTAGACTGAATTTAAAATTATAAAATTAGTTTAATAAATGTAAATACATTTAAAAATCAATTGTTTTTTTAATATTTATAATTTTAATTTATAATCAAAACAAAAATTATATAACTAGTAATCCATATTATAAAGCCAATATAATTAAAATTTAGTATCAATAATAAAAAATAACATATTATTTGTATTATAGTCTAAAAATTTATTATTTTCTAATATTATTTTAGTAATAAGTTTTAATATATATATATATATTTTTAAATATAATATATTATAAACATAATATTTTTTATGAATTTTTTTTATTATTATTATTAATAATAATTATCAATTTTATTTAAATATTTCAAATTACTCATTGTATAGCAATAAAAAAATAAAATGAAAAATTATCCTAGATAAAAAAATTAATAGGTTAGCAGAATAATCGGGTCAAACTAAACTATAAAAAAATAAACCTAAAAATAATAATAATAATAATTGAGAGCAATAATAGCTATAATAACACTGAAAATCATATATAATAATTTATTATTATTATTTTTTTGGTTATCAATAAATTTTTTGTGGTTACTGTATAGTTAATACACACAGAATTTTTAATTACATTTAATTGCTAACATCTATACAGTAATAGCTAACACATAGTGTATATTATAGTACTGTATACACGGTATGGTAGGTTAGGTAACGGATGAGTTATATACTATATATATATACAGACATATAGTATACATACAAATGTGTTACGTGTTTGCAATTGTGTTATCAAATAGTTATAAAATAGTGTTTTGCATATATATATATATATATATCATAAAATTGGGTCACTAATGCAGTATTATTATTATTATTTTTTATTTGGGGAGAAAAAAAACTTAACATTCATTTATCTAATAATTTCTACAATATATATATATAAATATATTGTATAAAAAGTAATAAAATTATTTGCCGCATATGTTTTTGTTTAACTACCAGACATTTATTATTATTATTATTATTATATATATTTATATTTATAAATATATTATATATRTATATATATTATATTGCAGTATAATTATTTTTTCTAACTATTATTTATTATTTATAAATTTATATATATTTAACTTATATATTATTTTCATATAAAAAATTCATTATTTGAATAATACCAGTATTTTAATAGTAATGTTTGTTTCAAATATATCAATATTTAACTAATGTTTTTTTAAATTATTTATTTAATGTTTATTTTTTTAATATTAAAAATATTAAATAATTATAAATTGTATTTTGAAAAAGTAATTTATCTTCAACTTTGATTAAATAATTTATACAAAAATTATTATTATTTATATTGTTTTTTTAAATAATATTCATTTATATCGTAAAGTTTTATACATTAATTTTAAATAATAACTAATAAAATTAAATATTATTTTATTTAATTGAAAAAAATTGCAATAAAATTAGTAATTTATGAATAATAAACAATATTGATTATTATTATTTAAATGATATCATTTAATGTCCTTGTATATTTAATATATATTTTTAAAAATAAATTTCAATATAGCATCAAAAAATAAATATACAGTAAAATGTAAAAATAATTAATAAATTGGGAAAAAAAAAAAAAAAATATTATAATTATCTAATATTGATACTTAAAAAACATGATTGTTATTAGTTGATTACATAATACTTTTATTTTTTAATAATTATAAGGAAAGTATTTTTTTAAATCAAAAAAAAATATTTTATAATAATATATATTACACAAATAATAATTTTTTTTTAAAATAAAGTATTATTTAACTTTTATATATTTATAGTATTAAATAGCAATAATTTTTTTGTTGATAGTTTTAAATAAAAGTTATTAAATATCAGTTATAAATTATTTATATATTTAAAAAAAAAAGTTTTTAACATTTTACTTACATTTATTAAATTACAATAACAAAGTTATCCACACAACAAAAAATAGTTATTCAAAAACAATCACATCGATGACAATATGAAAAATCAAATCAAATAAATTGGATAACAAAATAATATCATTGATCTATGATTATCAATATTATCATTATTATTATTATTATTATTTGATAACACATAAATCAATAATAGTTTTAATCATATTTTTGTTTTCAAAAATTCAAACAAACAAACAAATAAAATAAATATTATTAACAGTTTAGTATTTAAATACATAGATATAGTACTAATATAATTGTTATGAGATTATTATTTTGATAAATTGATTGCGGCATTGCTTATATATATATACCGATATATACTGTATATAAAATATATATAAATTTGACAAATATTTAATAATTTATGATAAAATTATTTGCACACAATTATTGTCACCAAAAAAAAACAACCAAAAAAAGCCGCCCTTCCTTTTTAGTAGTAGTAATAGTAGTAGTAATAGTAGTCAAAACCACAACAACAAAAAAACACTTAAAAAATTTTTTTTGATTGCAATTAATTTAATAATCAAATAGTTTTTTTTAAATTGTTATATAGTTTTCCATTCAAATGACAACTTTTTTTTAAATTTTTTATTTATTTAATTATATATAATATAGTATTACAGTATATTTCTATATCTATCTATATAAGTGAATCATACGGAATATTATACTAGAATTTATTGTCAATTTGTTTGTTGGTTTGTTGGTATTGCAACTCCTGTATGTCATAGTAGTAGTAGTAGTAGTATTGCCAGGTATTGAAATTAATTTATACCTACCAGTCCTGCGCGCATAYATACATACATACTATATTAATATGAAAAATAAAAGTTTTTTTTTTCATATGCCTGTATGTTTATTATATGTATATGTRTGGGGACAGGTGTTCCTCTCATTGGCGGAATATATGTGGTCAACCAGAGAGAGAGAGAGAGAGAGAGAGAGAGAGAGAATATTAATAGTTTTAATAGACTTTACATATAAATATATATAAAATGCAATATAATTTTTTGTTTGTCAAATTGCATTGAAAACTAATAGCACTTATATATATTGATATATCGTGTTATATAGCAATGATAGATATGAAGGCTAACCGGGAATCACGTCTCTCTCTCTCTCTCTCTCTCTATCAATGTATTTGACAATTGGGTTAACACTATGTTAGCCACAAAATACTAGTATATATATATATATYGCGTGAATTGGTTCACACATCCAATTTGGGTAAACATTTGGACTGCAAATACAATCCAAATAAAAATAATAAAAACAGATGCAGATGTGTTTGACATGTTTTATATATATATATATATATATTGTATATAAAATAATAATAATAATAATAATATCAATAAAACAATATAATATAAGAGATAATATTGTCGATGAATTGATAGGCTATTAGTAGTATTATATAGTATTAGATATATATAATAGATTTGTTTTTATAATTTCTAAATAATATTGATGTCAATAAATTTGATAAATTTGTTTTGTTTTTAAATTTTATTTTCTACAATTAGTTACGCAAAATTGAAACTTTTTTTATTGTTATTATTTATAGTTAGAGAGAGAGAGAGAGAGAGAGAGAGAGAGAGATCGTTATAGAGAGAGAGAGAGAGAGCTAACCCAACCACACACACAGAGAGAGAGAGCGACAAAACTCATAATAATACTAAATACAAGTAATAGAGAGAGAGAAAAAACTTTTAACGTATATTATAATGAAGTAATAGTCAAATCTCTATGACGACAACATTTATGATAAAAATAATAATTATTATTTATTTATTTTTTGTGGCTAATAATAATARTAATACGGTAGTGAAAAATCTAAAGGTAAAGGTTAAACAATTATCATATAAATTATTAATTAATTATTAAGCATTTATTATAGTCAGTAAATAATATATTAGATTTTATATATATATATATTACAGGTTTATGTAGTATTTTTGYTATTGTTTCTATTTTAAGTAAAAAATAATTTTAATTATTATTACTATTAATAGCCAAATTACTTAATTTTTGTATATATTTAAAAAAAWTTCCCAAAAATTTTACATTTTTCACATTAACCAAAAATATTTAAATTATTAAATATTTGAATCATAATGTTTGACAACAATTATCATCAAATAGTTARTTCAAATCAGATTTAAAGTTATATTTTTTTATTGATAAATAATATTATTATAGTTGTATTTATAATATGATATATAATTTTTAAAAAATATTTTTTTTTAATCTATTAGTGATTAAGACTATAATTTAATAGTTTTTTACTTAATAAACTTATTTTTTTAAATATGGTTTTATATATGTTATATATTAAATTGTTTATATATGTTATATAAAATTAATGTTGTATTTATATCACATATTTATCATATATACAGTATATAACAATCATTACAGTCAATTGAATTGATAAATTTTAAAAGTTTAAAAATTCAACTAATAATTTAGTGAATAGATTTACTATTGATTTATTTCAATTGAATTTTTTTTAAAAATGATATCAAATAAGTTTTTGATAAATTAGTTATTTATTAATTGGTTTATTTTAACATTTAACTCTACAYGTGTTTAAATCAATATTTTGTTTCAAACACGTGCARTAAAAAAACATAAAATTTTTGAAATTAACTATTAATAAAAAAWATWTAATTTGACTGTTATTTAAATAATTTTTTGAATTGTTTTTTTTGTAAAACGCGCTAAAAATAAATATATTATATACTAAATACATAGATATTTYCATATTATATAATAATCTATAAATTGACAAAAAATATATAAAATAAAATATTAATTTTGAGTATATTTTTCAAATTAATAAATAAATATTAATTCAAATGAAATTTATTAATTTAATTTAATTATTTATTTATTATACATAAAAAAGTTTTTTTGTTGTTTATAAGACTAGGATTATGTAAATATAGTAAATTATAAATTAATAAAAAATCAAATATTAGACTAATATAACATATTTAAAAAAAATCAAATTTACTATATTTATTATGATATTATTAATTTGCTAAAAATTATTAAATAAATTTTTTTTTTAAAAAAAATTGTGCTATAAATTGATTAGTTTGATTGTACTTATAATTATAATTAATTTTTTTTGTTTAAAATTTTATGAGATATTAAAGCACTGTTTTTTTTAATAATAAAATTTGTTTTTTTCGTTCAAATTTACACAAAACATTCAATGTATATATTAAATATAATAGTAAATAATATACACTTTTTGATGATAATAATAATATTAATAATAATAATAATCATAAATAAAATGTTTGATTGATTTTTTTGTTTTTAAATATATAAATATTAAATAAAATGTATAATATTTGGCACAAAAATTAAAAGAAAAATTATATATAATATATATAAACATAAATATATTGTAATTTTTTTTAAAACAAATGTTTTTTATAATGTTTGGTTTTTTATGAATAAAAAAATTAATTTAAATTACAATATAATTTACAAATATAAATATTTAATGACATATATAATAATAATAATAATTATTAATAGTAAATATAAATTATAAGTATATATATAAAGATAACTTAAGTGATGGCAATGGGATTAGACAAACATAGAGAGAGAGAGAGAGAGAGAGAGAGAGAGAGAGAGAGAGAGAGAGTAGGGATGAGATCGCAAGCAATATCACAGAGTATTGCCGGAGAGATAACGGGTTTATAATTATGCTATCAATTAAAACAAACAAAATTCAATTCAATTGATTTTGTTTAATTGAATTTAATAATAATATCAATAATAATAATAATAATAATAATTGTTTGAAAATATGGCACTAGTTTTGTTGTTGTTGTTGAAGGTATCTGTGATTTTTCAATGGTGTGTATATAATGAGTTTTGGTTGTATGTATGTGTGTGTGTGTAAAAAGCAGGTGCTCTTTGCCGCCGCTACCGTGTAGTTGACAACACATTCATAGACAGGCCGTCCAAAAACAGCCCATTCATAGGCAGGCCGTCCAGAGACCGGCACCCCATTCATCACCGTTCAGTTGTGATGTCGGCGACGCATATGCCGGTGCCGATTGTAGTGACGGCTGCTGCCGATACCACCACCACCACCACCACCACTGCTGCTACTACTACTGAACACTGACTGTGCAATCGTCCGGTGCTTTTGCGGCTTCTCTACGTGGCTAATCACTTGTTCGTCTTCGTTGGCGTCCAGTGCCGAATAGGACACAGCAAAACCTTTGTTATGTATGGTGTCGTCCGTACGGAAACGCAACAGCAATAGCTCGCCATTGGACAGAAAGTCGGGCGGTATCTGGGATTTTGATTGGTGACAATTGGGTTATTAATTGTTATAATAATAATATATATATATATACTTTATTTCCGCAAAATCGGCCCAAACTCTGAGCCGAATCGTCGTAACCATCGTATACTTCGACATAATCGTAGCCACAATCAGATTCGTGTTCGACTTCGAAGGTAACAAATCTTAGGCGAACCCGTTTGGCTTCCGGTGCCTCAATAATCCAATCGCAGTCCTCTTTTTTGTCGTAGTTATAGTCGCCAAACTTTGCGTGGGAATAGATATGCTGAAGACCCATATGAGCCATGAGTCGTCCGCCACAGACTAGTAGTGATGATGGTGTCGTCATCCAGACATCATAACCATAGAGAGGAAGATAATAGATAATAGGATATTATTATAACTAGTATTTTAAAAAAAAAGTGTGGATACAGTTAGTAGTATGCATTTTCATGGGGGTGGGGGTAGTAGTATTCAAGGGTTAAACAGGGGTACCGTAATCCAGTGTTAGTTAAATACTGTATTAAATATCTAGTAAACCATACATTTTTAAAAAAAATAAAAGTGTCGATACAGATAGTAGTATGCATTTTCATGGAGGGGGTGGGGTTGGGGTAGTAGTATTCAATGGTTAAACAGGGGTACCGTAATCCAGTGTCAGTTAAATACTGTATTTTTTAAAAAAAAATGACCAGGAACATTTATTGTAGATAATATTAAACTAGAAGCTAAAAATGTAAAATTAACTAGATAAGTTTCAACTATACTATATGTCGATGCTATTATACTAGTTAATTTTACAATTTAATTTAATAAAAATAATAAATTAAAATAATGTTCGAGTGTATAATATTATCTACAATAAATGTCCATGGTAATTTTTTTTTCTTAATTAAAAATGTATGGTTTACTAGATATTTATAATATTTAACTAACACTAGATTACCTGTTTAACCTTGAATACTACCCCCCCCCCAAAAAAAAAAAAATTCATACGCTATCTGTATCCACACATTTTTAAATACTAATTTATAAGACAATCAAACAGGAAATCAATTGATGGACAACAACACCAACAACACCAACACCAACACCAACACCAACACCAACACCAACAACACCAACACCAACACCTACACCACCAACACCAACACCTACACCACCAACACCTACACCACCAACACCTACACCTACACCACCAACACCTACACCACCAACACCTAGACCACCAACACCTAAACCACCAACACCTACACCACCAACACCTACACCACCAACACCTACACCACCAACACCTACACCACCAACACCTAAACCACCAACACCTACACCACCAACACCTACACCACCAACACCTACACCACCAACACCTACACCACCAACACCTACACCACCAACACCTACACCACCAACACCTACACCACCAACACCTACACCACCAACAAAAAGACAACATACCTGTCGAATGGGTAGCTTTGAAGCCTTTTCGTTGGACGGAAGCGTCTGACTTGAAGATCATAAACATTTTGTTCAGCGCCGACAGCAACGTATGGGGGACTTTACTGCCGCAGAAACGGCCYAATGTCTGTGAATCGGTAGAGTCGCCATCGTAGACAATAATATGATCGTAGGCGCACTCCTGATGGGGCTCGAGTTCAAATTCGGTAAACAACAGTTTGATACGATGGCCAGGGGTCGTATTCAACAGCCAAGTACAGTCTTTACGGCTCGGGTACGGGTCGGGATAGTTGGGACTCTGGAGTTCGCCTGAGGGGCCGGTAATATGATGGGTACAACTACCCTCCTTGCAGTCGTGTCGGTTCTCGTGCAATACAAACCCATTGTGACACAGACACAGATACGACCCGATAGTATTCTTGCAGATGTGCTGACAGCCGCCATTGTTTACGGCACACTCGTCCTTATCTAGTGGTCAGAGAGAGAGAGAGAGAGAGAGAGAGAGAGAGAGAGAGAGAGAGAGAGAGAGAGAGACGGATAAGACAGGGTTACCAATCATAAGACAATCACATATACACAATACGGTAATTACCGGTAAAAAAGTTGGCACTAAAACCGCTTTTCTGTACGGAATTATCCGAATTAAATTCCAACCGCAGACTATGGCCGACTGAGGTGATCATCGGCGGCAATCGGGCGCCGCAAAATACACCGTGTTTACGATAGTCATTGTCGCCCAGTTTGCTTTTGATGTCGACGCTATCGTATTCACAATCTTGCTATTGAATGGATGGATAGATATAGACAAACAAACATAATAATTAATTAAACTGGTGGTCACCAATTGGTTACGGGGGTGGAAGGGAAGGGATGGTAGGGGTTAAAGGTCATCACACATATATATACTAACATTGTTGCCCTCGAGGTCAAAGTGGGTAAAATTTAGGGTAATCTTGAAGCTCTGGGGTGCCATTATCTCCCAAATACAGTTCTTGTTTGGCGGATACAGATCGGGAAACGACGGGCTAACTATTGTACCGTTGGTCGAGTCAATTAGTCCGCCGCAAGCGTCCTCACATTTTTTCCCATCGGAGTGCAACTCAAACCCTATACGACACTCGCACCGGTAGCCGCCCAGGGTGTTGACACATTCATGTTCGCATCCGTGATCCGAATCGGCACATTCGTCAAATTCTTTGATAAAATTGGCCGAAAACCCGGCCTTCTGGACGGAATTATCCGACATAAACTTAACCATCAATCGGTTGGAATTACTGCGGACAGGTTCGGGTATTTTATAGCCACAAAATTTGCCCAACAGCGGCGARGTCGGCGAGTGGCCATCCCTGACCTCCAGATAATCGTAGACACAGTTATCATGATTTTCCACGTCAAACGACTGGAATTTGAGGGCCACCTGAAAATTTTCGGGAACCGTTATACGCCAAATACACTCTTTGTTTGGCCGATAATCTTCCGGATAGTTTGGACTCTGTAGGGTACCGTCTTCGGCATTAATTTCGCCGCCACACAGTGCTAGGACAACAATAGATAATAATCAATAATGACTGATCACTTCCACACCCACCTCCCACTGGGTATACCATACCTTCATAGTTGGCTTTGAAACCGCGATGACTGTGCTGATTGGGCGACGACTTATACGTAATAATCATACGATAGCCGCTGGTCATCAATGTAGTCAATCCTCCAGTATTAGCCGAACCGCAATATTTTCCCAATAGCGGCGACTTTGGCCAATAGCCGTCTCTGATCTCCAGATAGTCGGTCTCGCAGTTGTCCGACTCGTAGACGTCCAGATCGGTAATGTTTAGTACGATTTTTTCGCCGTGAGTGGCAGTGATCCTCCATTCGCAGTGTTCGCCCTCAGGAGGCGGCGATGCGTTGGGATAGTCGGGCGATTCGAGAGCACCGGTAGGTTCTTGCATAGTTCGGCCGCACTCTGGGATATAATATATATATATATAATGTTTTTTGTTTTTAATTATTATTATTATTATATGATATGATATTTGGTATTAATTAATGCCTAAAATGTTGTTAATTATTATTATTATTGTTTTATTTTATTTATTTTTTTTAATAAACAATTTACTATTATATTGTATGCAATCCTAATAATATGCTAATGTTTTGCATTTTATGTATAATAATATTTTTTTAAATTTTATTTTATCAAAAAATTATCATATATAAATTATATTTTATATAATAATTATGTTTATTGATTATATAATTGTTTTTTTTAAAAAAACTTGTATGATTATTATTTATAGTTATGTTTTTTAATGATAGTTAATATATATATGYTTAAAAAAATTTGTTAATGTTATCAATACATTAACTAAAATAAAAATTATATACATTTTCTAAAATAAATATTATAATTATTTTTTTTGTCTATAAAGTAATTTATAATTAATGTAAATAGTTTTTAAAACTTTAAAAAACATATCAATAATCAAAAAAATTATCATAATTATTATACATATTACTTATTATTAATAATAATTTTTTTTAAAAAAAATTAGACAAAATAAATGATGTTTAAACAGTAGTCACAAATTGTGACTCACAATCATTTTTTTAAACACATGGAATAAAATAAACTAATATAATAAGTTATCARTAAAATTAATATATATATATATATATATATATATCATATATATGTTATGTTAAACTTTAATTATATTTAWAAAAAAATTGATTTGATATAAACGCGAGTGAGATAAATATATTAATATATATATAWAAAAGGGTTAATATTCAGACATAAATATTTTTATWWATAAACTTTTATTAATAAACTTCTAGTTATTTATTTAATGGCAAAAAATTGTTTAATATATATAATCAAACACTTTGTTAATAAATAGTATTCAAAATTAATCAAACAATCAGTTATTTTTTTATATAGATATACTGTATATATATATATATATATATCTTGTTTTTTGAAATAAACAAAAATTATTTAATAAAATAAACTTAAACTAAAGTAAGCAATTAAAAGTATAAAACTAGTAATTATTTTTTGTTGTTGAGATACTATATATAATAAATGTAATGTAATTATTTAATTACACACACACAAAAAATACTATATATTAATATACTGTTATTTTATATTACATTGAATYTATTTTTTTTKKGGTTTATATATAAATAGTATGGATAATTAAAATTAATTTTATTTTACAAAAAAATAAAAWTATACTCTAAAATAAAAGATAACTATCTATTGGTGCTCTACATTATATTTAATGATGATGTCAATTGATAAACACACACATATATATATATATATATACATACATATATATATATATATATAYATACATATATATATATATATATATACATATATATATATATATATATATATACTGTAAATATTTTATTATATATTATTATAACAAAAAAACAAAAACAATATTTTGGCTTAAATTATAATATTTTTAAGTATGAAATGTAAGATTTTGAGACGTGATGGCGAACTTGACTTTATATTTGGATATTTCTTATAAAGTTTTTTTRCATTTAAATAATACAAAAAATATTTTTTAAAAAAATCTTAACACAATTTTATTATAAATTAAATTTTTATAAATTAAGATTTTTGTTATTTAAAATTATTATTWTTGTAATTGCTATATATAATAAAAACCATGTTATGTACTATAATCTAATGATAATTATTTAGTTTTAAAAAAAAAAAWTTGTTTTAWTTATAAATAGTAAGATGAATATATGAATAGAAATTTTCATTTTTTGTAATTTATTTATAAATAAAATACTTTTATAAATATTTATATTATAATTATTTATACAAAATTATAATTAATAGTYAAAAAAATTCTTTTGGATAATAATAATAATAAAATCATAAATAAAATTAAAGACAAATTCCTTAATTATTTTGTTTTCAATTGCATTGAAACAAAAAATAATTAAATATTTTCTAAATTTTTAAAAATTAATGAATCGRAAACTAAATTTTATTTTTATTTTTTATAATGAAAACAAAATTTCAAACCCATAGTTGAAATTCATTAGATTTATAATATAAAAATGTTGAATATATATATATATATACAATAATAATCAATATTTATAMTTTAAAAAAAAACAAAATATATAAAATTGRATTTTAAAATTATCCAGAAATTAATTGTATGAATCATTCAATTTTAGTGAGAAATGTTTATTAGTTRAATAGTTTGAAAAATATTATWTAWATATAAATAAAAATACAGTAATAAAATAGTTATATATATTATATCTAAAAATTTAAATTTTTCTTTTTTTTAAAAAATAGTAATAAAAATATCTATATATTATATAAATAAACAAAAAATAATATATATTTTTATATTATTTAAACTGGAATTTTTCTCTACTAATTACTAATAATAACTTTATACACAATTATTATTATTGTAAACTATTTTTCAAATTTTTATTTTGTTTTCAATTRATTTAATTAACAAAAAAAAATCTAATTTAGTTATAAAATGAAACAATAATTATCACWAAGTTTTTATGACACTATATATGATGGATTTTTTTTGTTGTTGAAATTTTTCATTAAAATGTAAATTTTTGACAATAATAATAATAATAATAAATATAATCAAAATCTATTCCCAAAAYATATATATATACAGTATTTTTAAAGTTTTCAAAAATAATTATAAACTAAAGTATATTATAGGAAATTATAATTACAAATGTTTAGAAAAATTTATTTTYAAATAWATATTAAATTTATATCTCCTGTATATATRCTGTATAAATAATTCAAAAATAAATGTTTCATATAWTCATATAWATATACAGTAGTACAGTATTCCCCATTGTCAATATTAAAATCATTRAAGTGGGGRGGGGGWGGGGGTGCGGGAATTAAAATATATGGCATAAAATTTTTGACACATAAAATACCCATGATAATTTTTGTAACAAAAATATGATTGTAATTAATAAATAAATCCATACGGKCGCCATCCCTAATTAAAATATTATTATTATTAWTATTAGGGGGATTAAAATAATAATAATAATAATAATAATGATAATAATAATAATAATAATAGACTAACTATTTGAAAATGCTATAAAAGGAAACGGTAGGTTTTAAAAGGTAGGGTTTACCCCTCCCCCTCCCCCCTGTACTCCCAATAGTATACCTATTTTTGGTATAGCATTTCTATTGAAATCAAAAAATAATAATTTATGTCATTTTCAAAAATATTAATTAAATAATCTGTAACTAATTATAAACWTTTATTGCAATTTACTAATATATATATATATATATATAYATAAATTATAGTCTAAATTAAAATTGAAAACTTATAAAAATGAACTCAACTTAACCCTATTGAAATGCAACCCTAAAAATAGCATAGTTTTTATGTATCATTATGTCTATCATTATTGTCAATAATATTATTTTAGAAAAAATAGAGTAATTAAAAATTATATAAGTTTTCACCAAAAATAAATAAATAAAAATATTATTACCATTTAATACTAATTATGATGACTAATAATTACTAATTAATTAAATTGAAAATATTTATTTTGCTTAATAATACTGTAATAATAGAGTAATAATTAATCAAAATTTATATAWTKAATAATATTTCCTGATAATCGATGAAAATAAATTATTATTTTTGATGTCTATTATATATATATAWATAAATGATTCATTATATAAATAAATTTTTAAATGATAAATTTCTASAAAAACTGCATAATAACTAATAAATCACTATTAGATTTATGTAATACTGTATATTAAATTTATATACAAATATACCATAAATTTTTTTTTKGGATCAAAATTGATTGAAACAAATTTATATTAATAATAATATACTGAATAATATGTGTCTCTTTTAGATAAAACTATTAATAATAATAATAATAATAGTCTAATATTATTATTATAGACTAGGAGTTCAACAAACATACGGTATTAATATTATTAATATTATTATAATAAAGCTTTTAGTCAAATACTGCTAATAATAATACTAATACTAATAATAATAATATGAATGGCTATGAAATTTTTAAAAGCAAACATAAACACAATTAATATACGAAAAATTTCTCGGAAATATTAGTTTTGCACTCAAATAGTAATCCACAAAAATTTTTGAAACTAAATAATAAACATTTGTATTATTAGTTTTATTAGTTTCAAAAATTTAAATATTGTTTCGCTAATATATATTGGATTTATATACAGTAGAGATATTACTAGAAACTAATAGATATATATACAATTTTAAAAATGTTTWTATAAATACAGTATTATTTTTATACAGTAATAAGTTGTTATATGTATTGMAATAATAATTTGAAATAAAAATTTTTATATCCACCAAAAAAATAAATTGTATACTGTATTTGTTGCTAACAAATACACAGTATAATTGCATTTATTATATAAACATTATATAATCAAACACATCAACAAACATAAAATATTTGTACCGAAAAAAAATCATAACATTTTTTATATATATATAAAATTATGTAAATGTCTAACAACAACAACAAAAATTGCTATTTTTAAATAAAAATAATTAAAAAATAAATTTTAAAAAATAAACGATTTACTACTCACTGGGACATCGGTAAAGCATCTGTGTCTGGGCTATATCGCCCTTACTTAGCCGCACTCGTTGGCCAATTTCGGGYCTAACATTGAGGCTCGGGTCGGTTTGCGGTAAAATGGTGTCCAAATAGGTACTCTTCGAGAAGGTATTCCTTGCGTAGTGCATAATACTATCGAAATCATACTTCAGGCCCAACGAGTTGACCTCCTCGTCGGTTAGCTTATTAAAGTTATACTCCTGACCTTACAGAATATTGTTTGGGGGTTGGATTTTTGGTGGGGGGAGAACAAACATAATGTTAGTATAATTGATGATAGGACAGGTAGGTATGTAGGTAGGTATGTGTGTGTGTGTGTATGGGGTCTATTAAAAATTTTTGTATAGTCCTCTTACCAGACATAATATTTTTGGTAACAATCTGTACGTTATCGTCCCGATCCGGCCGGGTATGTTCGTGCCAGAAGCCGACTACGTGGCCCAACTCGTGGACAACTATACCGAATTTATCACAGTTTTTGCCGATAGATATGGCCTGCGGACCGTTGCCGCGTTTGCCGACAAACGAACAGCACCTGTATGTGTGTTTGAATTTATTTATTTATTTTTTTTGGTTATATATTTATATTATTAATGAAAAAAAAATTATATTAAGGAAATGTGTGAAACAATTTTTATTTTTTWWAAATTTTTTGTTAGATTGAAATGTTTTGTTTTGTTTGGCAAAACTTGGGTTAATATATACTATACTAATATATTCTACACAAAAAAAAACAGTTATTTCTATTTATATATCATTATATATATATATATATATATATTCCCGGAGCTCACAAAAGTCAAGTGTTTTTTTTTCTTTCTCTCTCTCTCTCTCTCTCTCTCTATGTGTGGGATTAATGTATGTTTTTTAGACAGTATTTGTATGTAGAGGGGGAACAGTATGTGTGTGTGTACAAAACTAAGTAGTATAAACTAATGGATGTATCAAATATATAAAATATATATATATTTGTTTGAACAAAGAGTGAGATTGTATTTGACAAGGAAAGGGAGGATTATGGGGGATGGGGAGGAGGACAGGAAGATAGACATTGATATATATATATATATATGTATAGATAGATTGTTAGAWAGAGAAACTGCTGGTGCTTTTCAAGTGGTATATACACACTATCGACATGCTATGGGATGGGRTGTGGGATTAGCCGACAACAAAATAAAAATAAAACATTAGGTGTACTCTACCCGCACGGCCTTTCCGTAAAGACAATATAGTTTGGATGTTCAGGTGTCCGTTCGACAAACTTGACGCACGTATGGTTCTCCCAGTGCCGCATAGCCTGCTTGAACAGTGCCCTGTGATCGCCTACCAACAAAAAAAGACATACATAAGTCAATACCCAACCAACCAAAAAACAAAAATAAAAATCATAACACAAACACTATATATAATATATATCGTCAAACAGTCTATCAATTTATTTWAAAAATGTAAATTTCAAGTAAATAGCAAACCATGTAATACTATATATATATATATATATTACATGGTTTGCTATTTACTTGAAATTTACTTGAAATTTACATTTTTWAAAWTTTTTTATATATTTTTTATATATACTGTATATATATATATATATATATTYAAACTAAACACAATTCAAATWCAATACTTGCCACTAAAATTGGACTCAATTTCATAGGGTATTACACCGTAATCCCATAGTCTCTCGGGCCGGGCAGTGGCCGCCCGACGGGTCCKCAATTCCCGATGATATGTGGTGTCCATCGATGACGATAGTGATGATGATAGTGATAGGGATGGCGTTGATAATGATAATGAATATCCATAATAATTATTATTAATATGATTATTATAATCGTATGCATTATTAACAGTGACTAAGTGTATGAAAATTATTAAACATATGATAAGCATATCATTWTTAATATTGTTGTTAACTATTTGTATATTGGAGTACATTATTATAATAATAATTATAAATTAATATATATATAAAATCACAATTCAAATGGCAATTAAATATATTTTAATACAATTAATATATAAATATATATGTATTTTTTTAAAACAATTCAATGCACTATATATATGATGATAATATTATACATATATAATATATTGATGTATGGCTTGATATATTAATTGATGGGCTAATTAATATTAATTGAATTAATTATATATTAATAATAAATATAACAATAATAATTTAAAGCTAACAATTAAATCAATCAAACAACAAAAATTTGATTATTTTAAATCATAACATTATTATTAATATTAATAATAATAGTTAATTTATTTAGTTTTTTTGTTGTATACATTATTATTATTATAGTATCACTGGATATATATTTATATATATATAATTGTTTGGATATCTTCACAGATGCTAATGAACTGATTGATTGATTGTTGTGGTCATCAACTGGTTTGTAGCCGATTATCGGCGGCCAAGAAAATCATGGATTGCATGGAAAATAWATTTTTTTAAATATTTATTTTTTTTTAATTATTATTATTATTGAAGAACAAACCAAATAATTAATAAAAATATATAATAATAATAATTTTTGGTTACATTTGTGTATTAATATTAGTAGATATCATATCATATATATATACTGYACATACATATGACTACTATTACTACTACTACTACTAGTAGTAGTTTAAATGCATTTGAATTGAATGGCAAYACAAACACATCTCAGTTCAACACAAAAAAAAATATGAAAATAAAATCAAATAAAATAAAAACATTTGACACAAACAGTTGGTATGTTATGTGTTTGTGTTAGCGAAACACTGGATGAGAGGAAAGTCTATCCCTCTCTCTCTCTCTCTCTCTCTCTCTCTCTCTCTCTCTCTCTCTCTCTCTCTCTCTCTCTCTCTCTCTCTCTCTCTCTCTCTCTCTCTCTCTCTCTCTCTCTCTGTTTCTAAACATAAACGCTTGCAAACAATATCTCTATACACAAACATTAAGATATATTATGATATTTTCAACTCACAAATATATACACACATATATATATATATATCAGTATATATATATATATATATACTGTATATACTAAACAAACGCATGCTCTTCACTGATAAAACATACAGTTCCCCCCCACACACACATACACATTACACACACACACACACACCCGGGGACCCATACATACTAGTGCTCCTGTGTGTGTGTGTGCAATAATCCCTGAGCTGGTACTGATGGGTGAGGAGTTAGGTTAGGCCAAACAAACAATAAGTGTATATATATATATATATTTTTTTGCTCAGATATGGAAATTTTTTAAATAATATTGTTGTTGTTAGCCTATTATCATATGATAAAATATTTATATATTTTTTTATGTTTGCAAATATACATTGATGTACAGTATATATATATATATATATATATAAATATTGATTCAAATTGATACAGAATATTCCAGTCTCTTATTGTTGTTGTTGTTGTTGGGGAATATTTTTTCATATTATTATTATATTCCCGGAAAATTTGTTTTGTTGTTGCTTACAACCCTCTCTATTCAATATATATATATATAGTCTAACATTATCTCTACTATCATATGCAACACAACAACAACAACAACAAAATCTAAACACAAATATTCAAAATTTARAAAAAAATATTATATATATAAAGAGTTTGCGCTTTACTTAGCAAAAAAACATATGATATTTTTACCGTATGTTTATAATGTTATGTTATATAATTATGTATGTATTATGAGCTAAACAAACTATAGCAACGGGTTTTTAATAGGGACTGATATTCAAAATACTGTGTGTATGTATGTGTGTGTATGTRTGTGTGTGTGTATATGTGTGTGTATGTGTGTGTATGTGTGTGAATGTGTGTGTATGTATGTGTCTATATGTGTGTATGTATGTGTGTGTATGTATGTGTGTATATGTATGTGTGTGTATGTATGTGTGTGTATGTATGTATGTGTGTGTATGTATGTGTGTGTGTATGTATGTGTGTGTGTATGTATTAAATAATTAGTTATATAATAACAATACATTTCATTCATATAAAATAAATTAATTAAAAATAAATCGCTTTTCAAGTTTTGATTATATATTTGCCTAAAACATGTTATCTAAAGTATTTTATTTCAATTTTTTTATTCTATACAGTAATTTAGTAATTAATTTAATTAATTACAAAGTTTTTCTTACTTGAATAGTATATCAATGATAATATTGTTGGAGAATATATATACTGTATATGAAGTATCAATGAAATGTTTTATATATTTTATTTTAAAATATCATTAATAATTTATATACTACAGTATAGTATAATGAATAATACTGTAATAATAATAATACGATAATTTTGATTAAACTAATGTCTCAATTGATATTAACATTTTAATTAACTATTTTATATAGATATATATATATATTTAATTTGATTGTATATTACTGTAGTACAATGATCAAGGTCAATAATATAYTRTGTTGATATTATTGGCTATTTTTATTTTGGACATTAAACATATTTGAATGGTTAATGTTACTTTAAATTTTTAAAAATTATTTTTTAATATATATATATAAATTATAAATTTTTATTAATATATTGACATTTTATAGTAAACGGATAATAATAATTGTTATTTGAATTAAAAAAAATAAAACATTTCATTTATATTGACATTTAGTGATTAATCGATGAAAAACTTTTTTTTTGGTTAGTTTTAATCAGTTATTATGTAATAGTTTATTGGAAAAAAAATTTAAGACTATTTTTATAAACTGCAGACAATTTATATCAACAAAAAAAATATATTTAAAAAATCAATTACTAATCAATTAGCTGTCATTGTCTCATATATTGATAAAAAATAAAATTTTTTAATTGATTTTTATTTAGGCAATTATTTTTAATTTCATTCATAAAAAAAWCTCTAAATATTAAAAACTAATTATAATATATTATAATATTATTTTTAAATGAATAAATATTTATTTTTATTTTTTTAAATATGATAAATTATTAAGTAAATTATTAAATATTTTCCAATTTATAAATATATAATAGTTTGATAATACTTATTATGATTATATGAATAAAAAAAAGTTTTAATATAAATTTATGCAATAAATGCAAATATAAAATAATAATTAATAAAAAAACATATATTAGCTATGGTATAGTTTATAAATAAATTTATATATATTTTTTTAAAAATTTTAACAAATCATAACAAATTTTTATTATGTTTTATATTAAATATTTTTTAAAAAAAAATTATTTATTTAATTATATTTCAATTTATAAAATTAAACAGATATTTTTTTCAATAACTATTTTGTTTGAAAATATTTTCAACAACAACAACAACAAAAATATAAAAAAATCCGGAAATCAATTGACATATATTGATATGTTTTAAAAAATATTTTTATTTTATTAATTAATTATATTTTTTTATAAATAATTTGGATTAATATATATATAAAATATATAATAATTTTATTATACACTTTATATATTATAAATATATTATATATATCATATATATATATAAATAGTATTTTTAAATTTCCCACAAAAATTGTATACACATTATAACATATGTAGGCATAGGCAAAAATGTGTCTATATTTACACAAAAGATTATAACATATATATGTAAAATAAAATAAAGATAACACACAAAAAATTTTGAATACTTTTATGCATACAATACAAAATACCTCTATATAAAAATCACATGTAAATCATGTGATTATTTTGTTTTTAAAATATTTTTAATCAAAGTATATTTTTCAATACTAATTATAAATATGACAACTATAATAAATAATAACTATAATAATTTTCATTGTGTCAAATAATTTTCGAGATATTCGACTTTAAAGTCAAAAATAAATATTTGTGATATTAAATAATTTTAGTATAAAATTTAGAATTATTTAATTATAAAATTATTTAGTAAAAATTAAATATAATTTCATTATAAATAAAAAAATAGTTTTATTATATTAAAATATATTATATTATAATAAACCTAATCTAAAAATAATATTTATAAATATTTTTAAGTGTAATATACAATATAAAATTTATATAATAAAAGTATTTAAAATTAAATTAAAAATTCTCTATAATTTGATTAATAAAATATATATATATATATATATAAAAAATAATATATATAATTAAAAAATTTCTTTCGATAACTTTCAATTAATTAAGATTTATAATAACAAACATGACGAAATTACTGAAAATAATAATTCAATGTGTTACTAAATTTTGATAATTTTTGATAATTTTTTTTATTATATATTTATGCAATTATTTTTTGTGTGTATTTTTTATATTTATAAAATACGACGTTATTATTGCTAACTCTACACAACCATACGTAGACTGCCGGCGATTAAACATATGTTTGAATTTTTTTTGAACATATGATTTTATGTTACCATAGAAACGTTTGTTAAGGGGACTGGTAGTTAATAATAATAATAAAAATGCCGTATATCCATGTACTGTAATATCTATCCATAATAATAATAATAATTTTAATTAACAATAACTTTTATACAAATAATTTTTTGCTATCTATCATATAAAAACATTATTTATACATAACTTTATACATTAATTTGTAGTATAATTACAACTATTTTATACATAAGTTATTATTATTTTATTATTATTTGTTGAATATATTTAGCAAACAATAGTATTGTTGGATATATTGCGATATACAGTACTATACTATCGGTGAGTATATAATAATATTTTTAAAAAATACATTATTATTATATATTATTACTTTTTAAACTTTTATATTTGTTTAGTTTAAATGTCCAAAAATATTATATTAAATAATATATATATWTTTTTAAAATTAATTAATTAATGATTATTTCTATTTAAAAAAAAAATAAGTTTACAATTTACAGCCTATCAGATTATTAAAAATATGATCAAGGTCACAAATTGATAGCATATATTACATTGTTGCCATATTATTATTATAATTATCCATGTTATTTTTTTCAATATTTACATTATATTTTACTTAAAATACATTGATAATTWTTTTTGGTGATTTATTAAAACATTAAATTTAAAAATATATATATATATATTATAAATTTAACTAGGAAAGTTTTAATTATATAAATTATATATATATATATAKATATTAATATATGTCTAATAATCTCATTTTAAATGATATCATATTATATAATATATCACTTATATATATATATCAATGAACTTGTTTTTTATAAGTAATAATAATAAGTCTACTTTAAAAACTAATTTTCATTAAGTTTATAGTTATTATAAATTGATATTAAAWACTAAGCTTTTATTTTTATTTTAATAAAATACAKACAATTTATACCATATATATATATATATATATATTCAATTGACAGTCATTATCCCATATAATGTTTTTTTTAAACAAAATTATAGTTAATTTCATTTTTAAAAAACTAATATTTTAAATAATATGCTAATAAATATTATATTTTAGTATATATACAGTATATTAGTAGTACTAATAATGCACTTTATTTTGAGATATGATAATTATTTTTTAATGTACTGTATTTTTTATCATCAAAAAAATAACCCATAAAATATTGAGAGAGAGAGAGAGAGAGAGAGAGAGAGAGAGAGAGAGTACCGTAAATTTCCACACAAAATAAAATTGTTTGATAAAACACATTCACTATTTGAATCACTTATTATTGTAATATATTTATGTATAAGTTTTTATTATTTTATTTATTTTTTTAAAAAAAGTGAGAATTAAAAATTTTAAACTTTGAAATATTTATTCATTGACTAAATATAWATATATATATATATAGATATATATAAATATTAATTAAAAACAATAATATATTTATTTTATTTTTTTTTTGTAGCAAACATTTTGTTGTTTAAACATAAAAACAACAGAAAATAATTGTTTGATTAATTAAAAATCCAAACAACAATCACAACAACGAAAAATTATGGGATTTGAAGAAACTACTGGAAAAGTATTGAAAAAATTTGTTAATTGAATTAAATTTTTTATTAAATAATTTGTTTTTTTTTATTCAATGGACAGCCTATTGAATGTCGGGCAGCAGTGGCCTGGGAGGCGAAAAAGCCACTAACACTGGAGACAATCACTGTCCAACCGCCAAAATCGGGTGAAGTACGTATCAAAATTGTGGCCACCGGTGTCTGCCATACCGATGCCTATACATTGGACGGTCACGACCCTGAAGGCACCTTTCCGTGTGTGTTGGGCCACGAAGGCGGCGGTATTGTTGAGAGCATCGGCGACGGTTAGTTTAGTTAGTTAGTTAGTGGTTGTGTGTAAGTGTGTATGAATGTGTGTGTGTGTGTATTATTGTATGTGTGTGTGTATTATTATGTATGTATGTATGTGTGTGTATGTGTGTGTGTGTATTATTATGTATTTATCTGTGTATGTATGAATTTGTGTGTGTATTATTGTATGTATGTGTGTGTGTATTATTGTATGTGTGTGTGTGTATTATTATGTATGTATGTATGTATGTGTGAATGTGTGTGTGTATGTGTGTACATATATGTATGAGTGTGTGTGTGTATGTATGTATGTATGAATATGTGTGTGGACATCACCAATCAGTGGAGATTCCTAAGATTTTAAAAAAAAATTTATTTTATATATTTATTTATCTAATTAGGTGTGACATCAGTCAAACCGGGCGATCACGTTATACCATTGTATATACCCGAGTGCGGTGAATGCAAGTTTTGTTTGAGTCCGAAAACCAATGTTTGCAGCAAAATCCGGTTGACTCAGGGCCGGGGTCTGATGCCCGACGGTACTTCAAGATTTACGTGCCGTGGCCAGACACTCTATCATTTTATGGGTACATCAACGTTCAGCGAATATACTGTTGTGGCCGAAATATCGGTAGCCAAAGTTACCGACGATGCACCCCTSGAYAAGGTSTGTTTGCTTGGTTGCGGTATTTCTACGGGTGTCGGCGCTGCCCTGAATACGGCCAATGTTGAACMGGGCAGCAACTGTGCCGTCTGGGGATTGGGAACCGTCGGWCTGGCTGTTGCTCACGGYTGYCAACTGAGAGGCGCCAAACGTGTGATCGGTGTCGACGTAAATCCGGCCAAATTTGAAWTGGCCAAACAGTTTGGTTGTACCGAATTTGTCAATCCCMGAGACCATAGCCGACCGATTCAGGAAGTACTGGTCGAAATGACCGACGGCGGACTGGACTATACGTTCGAGTGTATYGGCAATGTCCAGACCATGAGAGCCGCACTGGAGTCCTGTCACAAGGGTTGGGGTGTTTCGGTTATTATCGGTAAATATAATAYTAATAATAATAATAGTCTATTTGGTGTGTGTGTGTATGTGTGTGTGTATGACTACCTAATCGCTTCTCATGTTTTTTTGTCTRTTTTATGAAATTGTCTAAAAATAAAAAGGTGTGGCCGCTAGTGGTCAGGAAATWAGGTAATTATTTATTTATWMWTTAWATATATAGATATATGTATAATAAATGTATCTCCCGATATAGCACCCGACCATTTCAATTGGTAACCGGCCGTACTTGGAAGGGAACGGCWTTCGGCGGCTGGAAAAGTCGTCAAAGTATACCGAAACTGGTCGCCCAATACATGGACAAGAAGCTAATGGTCGACGAGTTTGTCACTCATACGAAACAGTTGKCTGAGATTAACGATGCCTTTCAACTGATGCATTCGGGAGAGTCGTTGCGGACAATTGTCTACTATTAATGATGAGACAACCGATTATAAAACCGATTATACAACCGATTATTATTATTATTATTACAATATTTTTATATATATATSTAAATAAAATGGKAAAAACAATATACAATTTAAATGGCATTTTTTGATTAACCCATTGATTGTGTGTTTTTTTAAATAGTTTTTTTTTTTGATAATATAATAATAAATCTGTATTTTTTTAATAAYCCTAATAATGGAAGTATTGTTTGTTAATTGATAATTTACTGGAAATATTAAAAAYAATTATTGATTTTTAWTWGAAATAAATATTCAAAATAAMTCGGAAACTGTTTTAATGGTAAAATGAGTTTAAAAAATTTATTTTATTTTTAAWTTTATTTTTRTTAGTTTACTAATTGATTGATWTCTATAGCTAATSTCAATTGAAATTATGTKTACTTTATATATATATATATTTTATTATTAGCTTTTTTATTATTATTATTATGTGTTAATATTGATATATAGRTATAAAAATATAAATTATATATTTGATTTAAATAATTGGTAATTTAGTGATTTATAATTTATAAAAAAAATCCAATTATCGTTAAATGATTATTATTTATATTAAAATATATATTTTTCAAATAAATATTTAAAATCATTGGTAATAATAATAATAATAGTTTGATTAATCACATTTTAATTTAAAAAATTTATCTAGGTTATGGCCAATCAAATTTAATATATTTGAAAATTAAATTATTGTTATATTTTTATTAKATTTTTTTAACAATGTATTGTGTTATTGATAGTAAATAATTTATATTAAAACTAATTATTTCAATTTTGATAAATAWTTTTTTTTTTTTGGTTAACTAATTGATTGATWGTTATGCTAATCAATAGTAATGATTTATACAATATTTATAGTTTTTATTTATTATTTGTTAATTTTTTTAATATATATTATATTTAATTTAAATAATTAGTAATTTATCGATATWTATATTAATAGAAAAGCTTTGACTGGTTTGAGTGGTTTTTAAAAAATTTATTTTTTGATTTTAATATTCAAATTTTGTTTATATTTATAAATTATAAGTTATAATAAACTGTAATAAATATATATTAAATTTTAATAAAATCATTACTGATAGTAGAAAACTTGGTCAATTAACTAAATCTATAAGTTATCCAGGCCAATCAAATAATAATAATTTTTTTTAAATGTTTTATTAGCTATTGTGTTTTTATAGTGTTTTATAACTTATTGTTAAATAGAAATGWATTTATATTTATAAATAGATAAAATAGTTATTATATAATTGTTTTTTGATTAATTGAGAAACAAACTAAAAATATAAATTATAATTTTGTTGTAGTTATTAAAWAAAATAGATTTTTAACGKAAATAAATCCAATGAAATTAAATATAATAAAATAAAKAATTTTTATATACAAAAAATAAATTTTGTTTTTAGATATTGGGTTAAAACAAAATTGATTGATTGATAGCTATGCTAATAGTAATGATTTATATTTAAAACGTTTTATTATTATTATTATTATTATTATTGTGTGCTATTTTATATTTTTATAATTTATAAGTTTTATTTGTTTTTTTAAAGATAATTAGCAATTTATCTATATATGGAAAAAGCTTTTTATTTTTGACTAATTGACTGATTATTTATATAAAAAATTATTTTATAATAACTCTTTCCTAATATAATACTCTTTATAAAGTCATTTGTGGCAAACAAATTGATTTGTAATAATAATTATTAKTATTTTATAAAAAATATATTAATTGAATATGATTTGAGTGCAAATCTAAAGTTACAAAATAAAAATAAATTATTTAGAAAAAAACTAATAAAAATAATAAATTATTATAAAATTGTTTTTTTAAATTTTGAATAACAAAAATATTATTTATTGACAATTGTTAATTTTATATATATATTTAAAAATATTTTTWAAATCAATAAAATATTGTTTATGATTTAAATTACTGATAATATGTAAAATTATTTWATGTYATTATTATTATTAAWTTATTTATATTTTATTTWTATTTGTAAATTAAATTAATAAATAATTATTTTATRTTGTATTTCCATATTAATCAAATTGCTCCAATTAATTATGGAAATTCAATTAATTTTTTAAAAATAATATTATAATTTAATTTGTTTGACCATTAATTAGATAATATTTTTTATGTTTATTTGTTAATACWCTATATTAGTGTAATTGAAACAATATTAATAATAATAATAATAAATCATTTAAATATATATAWATTMAATGAGTATATTAGAGTATGAATAAAAAATAATAGCAATTTTTTTTCACTAAATTCAATATTTAAAAATAAATTTATAGTTTATATTATAATAATAATATTATGAATAAAARAGATTATAAATATWTTAGTTTAATATTTTAATTATACACAAAAAAAATTTCTGATAAAYAATATTTATATATTAATATATGATTATTGCATGAAATTTGCAAAATATTTGTTTAATACAAAAAAAAAAACTAACTTTAAATGTAATTTAAATGTTATGTCTATACAAATAAATATTAATCATTAATACTTATGATTAKTACTGTTAATAATATTATTATTTAATAAATATTTTAATTTATRAGTTTATTAACAGTTATAKAGTATAACTTATATATATATATATATGTTATTTAATATGCGATATAATCTTAYGAAATACAGAACTAAAATAATTGAATAATTTCTTATCAAAAAAATAAGATAAATATATTAATAATATWTTTATAATAAATTACWRTTTAATCTTATTAGGCATRAAAAGATGCAAAAAAATTTTTTTATTAATCAAAAAAATATCAATTTATTTAATTGATTTCTCTAATTTTTATTAAATATGTTTTAAAGTAATCAAACAACAAAAATATTAAATTACTAATATTAACAAAAAATAAATTAAAAATATATATAATTTATATATCACTAAAAAACTGTGTGGTCTATAARATTAAAAAAAACAAATTGCATAACTATATGATAAATATATTTATATAATAATATAATATATTCAAAAACATGATTTGAATACTTTAGCATAAAAAATATATGATTATTATTATTATATAAATKATAYAATATATATATATATATATATATATATATGTGATGAAAYAAAACTAAAATAATATAACAACAAAAAAAACATAACAACATTTCAAATCATAACCACTTAACTAGCGATAAGAGMTGTATGGGTAAGGTATGTGTTATTATTATTATTATTATTATTATTATATAATATTATAAGTCAAGCCCTGAGCTCTAGTAGGTGGGCGTCCTATGTGTGTGTGTGTGTGTGTGTGTGTGTGTGTGTGTGTGTGTGTGTGTGTTAATAAAAATGAGGCACTACTCAATTGATTGCTCCCTATGATAATAATGATAATAATAATAATARTAATAATAATAATAATAATAATAAATTTTTCGGTCCGATATTACATTAAAAGCATTTCATTTTTTTAAATTTATTAACWAAAATATTTTTATTTATTAATTATTTTTACGTCCATATAAAGCCAAAAATTGTTTATTTTTTTTTTTATTACTTACTGTGTGTTTGTTTGTTAGTTGCGTTAATTAATTTCAAATATAGTAGTAGTAGTAGTAGTAGTAGTAGTAGTAGTAGTAGTAGTAGTATAGTAGTAGTAGTAATGTTTGTTGAAAAGTTATGTCCAATTTATTTGCAAATTAATTATTATGTTTTTTTTAATATTAATATTTTAAATTATAAGTAATAGCTTTTTTCTTCAAAATAATGCATTAATTTCTAATTAAATGAAAAATAAATTAYACCTAAAAAATAGTATGTAATGTGTTTATCATGTGATGATAAAACAGTGTGTATTTTTTGGTATATTWTAAATAAATTTATTTTTTTCAAAAAAAAAGACAATTTCATAATCAATTTATATATTTATTTATTTTAAGATATACTGTCTATATATATATATATATATATATATATAGTATTTTATACTATATWTTAGTATATTATACAACAAATAATTTACAAACTATGATATATATATATAAAATACATTAAAAATATAAAATTAWAAAAATATATTTTACAATTATTTTATATCAATATATATATATTTATATATATATAATATAAAGATATTTTTATTTTTAATGAGTTAATTAATAAATGCATTAAAACTCTGGAGACACAACACATACACACACAAGCAGTTAATAGTATAGTTAAAAACAATTTTATAATAATAATAATAATAATAATAAAAATGTTAATAAAAATTTATATAGAAATAACTTTGCGTACAATTTGCAAAAAAAAWAATAATATTAGTAAATATTTTAYRTATTTATTTTTAAATTAAAACTATTTTAAACAAAAAAWATAATAATAATCAATACTTTAAAAATTGAAAAGTTTTTTTWAAAAAAAGTTAATTAAATATTGTTTTTTGGGGAGAAAATATAAAATAACAACAAATAAAAACAATTTATCGATAATAAAATAAAAGTGTTGAGTGTTTTATATATATATATATATATAAATGTTTGCTTAATAAAAATACTAATGTTTATACTGTATATAAACACATTACACAAAAATGATTTTWAAAATTTCAATTACTGTATATTATTGTAGATATATATATATATATATAGGAAGGGAAGGGTTGTTAGTTTACAGTATGTTTGGTAATGTAATGCAATATATATATRTATAATAGCTTAATGTATGTATATATTACTAAAAATTTATTTATATTTATTTTTTTTATATATATAAATTTTTGTTATTTGTTTGATAGTAGTCTCAAGTGAAATATAATCGAGGTTTGCGTTTACAAACAAAAAAAATGCAATTACGGTATACAAACATAACATACAATTTATATATATATATTTGAGAGTAACAAAAATATCAATAATAATATTTTTTACAAAAAAAAAAACTTAATGTAAGTTAATGTCCGGATAATTGTGTTTACATTAGATTTTTTGTTTTKTTTTTCTCTCTCTCTCTTAACATTATTTTTAGTTTTTATTTACAGTAATATATTGTACTGAAGTATGAATTTTGGGTATATAACGACTAGTCTTTCAATCAAAAAAAAATTAWTATTATTAATATATATATAAAATAAAAATTAWAAAAAAAACATTTATAACAACAAAAATATATATATATTTRTATAATATTTGATTGATATATATAATACACAGTATATATATAGAGTTTGGATATACTGTATATATATATATAATAAAAATTTATTTTATTTTATTTTTTTTTTTRWAAAAATCAAATCAAATATAGAAATAGTTGTCAAAATTATTGAACGATGGCTTCAATGTCGGCGAATGTATYGATTTGGTGATGACCTCATCCCTGCGGTTCAGATGAAACATAACGTTTCCCGATCGGTCACATGTCTTACTCCACGGTAACTATAGGTTAGAGAGAGAGAGAGAGAGAGAGGATGAGGAAGGGGTTCATGGGATGAGARAAACATTTTTAAARAATTWAAATTTTAAATTTAAAAAAAAACAGTTAACAGTTAAGTGTTTTTTTTTTGTTGAAAATAAATAATTGTTTTCTCACACAATTAAGATGTTTTAAGGGTATAGTATAGTGTAGAGTATATTATCATATAATGAGTTTTTTTTTTATAATATAATTATTATTAAAACGAAATTCAATTCAAAATTGAAAGGTAAGGTTAGGTTAGGGTAACAGTCCGTTACCTGTATTAGGGGTATGTGTGAAAAAAAGTGCAWATAAAAGGTTAGTTTAGTTTAGTTTAGTTTCACTGTACCTCACGTTTCCTCAACTGATGATAATCCTCGTTAGTAACGATAATATTTCGGCGCATTTGAAACACAAATACGTCGGGGTTTGGCCACTGGGACTGTATGGCCAACGGTATCTCATTGGGCATAAGCTTGCGTTCGCCTACAAAAAAAAATTGCGATAATTTTTTGTTAGTTTTCAATTAAATTTTTGTTATTTTTTTTTGTTGGGATAAACGATACATACATTTACGTGAAGGACAGACTTCATATAAGGCAAACTTTTGTGATTTTTCATTCAAGTTATAGCAGTTAAGCAACAGTTGAATCAATTCATCGCAAGTCGTCCGGTCGGACAACAGTAGACTCTTGTAAAGYGACTATAAAAATATAGATATATATATATATATATATATATAAATAGTATAAATAAATGGTATATTTTAGTTTAAGGGAGGGGTTRGTTGTGTTGGGGTGTCTAGTAGTCTGGACCCCGAGAAATAAATCATATGTATATATATATATATATATACTAATATATTTTAAGACAACACATACCCCTGACATTAGACAGCTGTCGTAGATTTTTATAAGACCACCGCATCTCATCATCAATGAAAACCTAATATAAAGTGAGAGATATATTATATATGTAATACATATTATGTATATA